TCGGCGAAGGCGAGGGAGATGGTGAGGGAGAGAGAGCCAGCGTTTGCGCTGTAGAGGGAGGGTCGAAGGGCATATTCAGAAAATATTTCGATGAAGCGACAGGGGGAGGCGGTAGGTTTCTTTCCTTAGGACGTTATTCGGTTCGTAGATCGAGGGTTATTCCTCGGAATGTTGTTGATATGAGGTCAAGCCTGATACTGATCACTATCAGGACATGTATACCTCTAAACAAGCCGGTGGGTATCTGATCAGAGGAATCGGAAGCTCCGGCTTCGATCCCGAGTCATGGATTCGAAGAAAATATTTTGTGATTCCAAGAGTCACCTAGCCATGCTGTCTTTCTGCGAAGATTGGCATCAGAATGGCCGAACAATGTGTTGTTGCATGGAATGGAGAACTTCGGTTGTATTATGATGATGACACGGCTCGTGGGGCTTCAGGCTAAGGCTCTAGCACTCTTTTGGCCTGCATAGGGCGTTGTGGCGATGCAATGTTTCATCCCTAGGCAGTACCCCAAGGTACCTGAAAACTAACGCCGTTAGTCTACCTACACGGATCAACATCTTGACAGGTAGATGCATTACACTAGATATTACATCATCAATTCTACCTACTGTACTATACATAGATCAGTACTTACTGTAAGTATGCACTCCTTATTCTACCTGGTACTAACCCTTTCAGGTATAATACGTTATACGCGCAACGTCGTTTCAAAGTCTCCTTATTATCTTGGGTATTTAATCATGGCCTGTTTCATTATCGTCACATAGGTACCCATTGTAATGTTGCCATGCTCAACCTCGAAAATCTGTTTGCTGCCATCTCATCAGGTTTTATACCTTATATACCTACCTTTCATTCTCAAGCGGCCATGGTTCTATAATAGTAGTCCATCCCTCTAATCTACCTATATGGGTCGCCCACCTTACCTGATTAGAAACAGTTCGTTTCTAGGAAGAAGCTCTCCAGACAGCTACAAACGACTGCTCACTCTTGCTCTAGGATTATGACTAGGTGTCGGTCTCAAGCATAGGAGGTTGTAGGTAGGAGCCACGTCAGATCCTCTCCCCGCGCCTTGTGCTACCTACCCCTCCTACAAACGCTTCCGTGCTCCGTGGTATATCAGAAGTATCCAAGTCACACAAAGTAAATAGCGATGTTTTTTACATTTGAAGAGGGTAGCAATGTTCTCGCGACCATTATCTGCCACTAAATAGTATGACTTTCGAAGGCACACGCAAGGCTATTAGGAAACGAGAAATCAATGCCTGGCAATCTTGTGATTCAGCGTTTCTATTTCCTTCGGCGTTTCTTACCATGTCTATTATCACATACAATCTTTATTGATCCTATAATTACTTCTTAGGACTTCGAGACTCGATATGTTGATTTGTCTGTTACCTACCCCCTCCATCCCACCCTAGGGTACATGCATATGATAGGTATAATAGATACCTATAGAATCACCCTCGCTCAGTGGACTGGCTCATTATGCGGTACCTAGGTAGCCGAGATGGGCTGCTGATAACCTGGTATGCGTTTTGAAGGTGACTGCCTGGACATCTGGTGGGTTCGAGCCATTTCCGCCCACAGAATATCCGTTACGTGCATTCTCTCTGTTTGTGTTCTCATATAATACGGCATACTGCACAAGTATATAAACATAGCCTTCGGGCCGTTGGATTAAGTCTAACCTACCAGAAACACCTACAAACGGTACAACTCATAACCAACTTCGACTCTTGCAACCTCAGCCCCGTAAAATTCGGTACTATCGTATATCGCCTACTAGCCCTAGTGCAATATGAAACCAACAACGCCTTTTGCTACTGTTCTACTCGCCTCCGCGCCCATTGCGAGTGCCGGCCCCGCTGCATATGGCTTGTGTCAAGCGGGATGCTCGGCGGTTGTCATGGCCTGTTACGCGGCAGCTGGTTTTACTTGGGGAGCAACTATGGGCGCCTCAGCTCCGGCGACCATTATTGCATGCAACACAGCATTCGGAACTTGCCAGGCCGGGTGCTGGGTCGCCGCCATCGCCCCAACTCCTTAGATCGATGTCTGTAGGTACCTACATCTTTCATGTCCAGCTCCAAGACTATAATCAATAGTTAATCGAAACGGTCCTAATGAATCGCCCGCTAATCAATACTAGTACCTTGTGTGATTTAATTCACTATTACATGTGATGGACCATAAGTGGCCGGGAACGTGCTGACACGGTGACATTCTCAGTTACGGATGATGCCTGTCATAACTTATGGGCGTTGCTGGGAATGTACTTGGGTGTTGGTTTCACGAATCATGATGCTTTCCTATGTTGTCAACGCAAATGATGTTATTATTACGATTTGGATACTGAATAACAACAATTAACGGACGATGCTTCGGTCTAGGTCGCCTCTTGCAACTATGAGCTCGAAATTTTGACTCCTAGAGCCTCGTATATAGCGCCTATGTATGCCTTAGAAGCCTTATTCCCAATGAGAGAGGGCGATCTCTTGTTCATGGCGTAAGTAATTGTGACTTTGCGGCCAACATCCATGATGCCGAGAGAGCCACCCGAGCCACCCCAATACGCAATATCGCCCGCGGGCATCCAATCGTCGACCCAGTCCCCGTCGCCTTTAATGGCGTATCCGATGCCGAAACGGATAGGTGTTCCGATGGCGAGGTCCATCCCTCGAGATTGTTCCTCGAAGATCAAGTCGACCGTCGACTTGGACAGCAATTGCTTGCGTTCACCAATACCGTCGTGGCCTGCGAGCGTGATCGTGGAGAGTAACTTATTCATCGCAGAAGCGTTGCTATACCCGTTGGAGGCGCCAATTTCGCCTTGCCTCCACGCAGCTCGTTTACTCACATCGGGTGGCATCATAGGGTTCGCGATCGCCTTCATAAAGAGGGGGCCAGGCTTGAAATCTGGAGCGGCCCCGGACGAGGCTGCCATTCTGAGAGGGGCCACACGAGGGGCGTCTTTTTCCAAGATACCGAGTTGGAAATCGGCGCCTAAGGGTGTTGCGATCTTCTCGGTAATAAACTGCTTCAGGCTTATCCCTGTCACGCGGCGTACGATTTCGCTCAGGAGATGACCGAAGTTCCAGGCGTGATACGCCGACGCTGTACCGGGCTCCCACCACGGTGCCTGGGGAGCGAGCTTCGCGGTGGAGGTCATGGGATCACAGATCTCGTCCATAGTGATTTTGTCGTCCCAGCCAGCGACTCCGGAAGTGTGTGATAGTAGATGGCGAATCTCGACGTCCTCTTTCCCATTGGCGGCGAACTCGGGCCAATACTTGGAAACTTTGTCATAGACTGAGATAGCACCGCTATCAACGAGCATGAGGACCGCGAGACTGCTGATTAATTTTGAGCTCGAGGCGACGCCGACGATGGTATCCTCAGTCCAGGGTCGCTTGGTTTCTGAATCCGCGTAGCCGCCCCAGATGTCCACGACATCCTCGCCATCGACGTTGACGGCTACACAAGCGCCGTCCTCTTCCCCCGAGTCAATAAATTGCTGGAGAAGAGAACGAACCTTTTCGAACAGCGGAGTGCACTTCCCGTGCACTTCAGCCATGCTTACTTTATCCCAAAGTGTTATAGTAGGAGGATCGACAGCTGTAATGTAACAATTTCGAAAAATTGGATCTGGATATGAGAGCGTAGAAGGCGATTCCGAAATAATTAGAGAGGTGGCAGAATACTCAAATATAGATAGAGGATACCGGGATTGCATACACTTATATCAAGCATCTCAACTTTGATACTTGATAGTCCCAAGTCCTACTACCTCCACTCGAATAGGCTGCAGCCACGGCAGCCACGGGAGCTAGACCCAACTTAGTACAATATGCATAGTATGTTGGTGGCGGGAGGAATTGATTCCCGCCGTATAATCCTTGATATAATACCGGGAGCCACGGGCGGGGCCGTGGTGAAAGTCGGCGCTTGAGTCATGCGGTAAACACACTAGTACTAATGTTGTTGACCGATGTCACGTTTGGGGTCCTTTACAGAGACAAGGCTCCTAGTTAGCGTACCAATTGTGTATTAATCTTAAGGTGAAGAAGAAAGAAGGAAAACTCTGCAAGCTATCTACAGGAATAATGGGATATATGGTAATGTGTGTGGGACGGCTGGTGGGTCTGTCAGCCAGGTGTCTAGGTGATGTGGGGACCAGCCGTCTTACTTTTTACTACACTAAAAAGAATGGCTGAGTTTAACCGACAATAATCGTAGGGTATACAACAAGGCAACGCAACAGTGCATATTGCTCAGCGAGACCGAGATGTTCTTATTATTGTAGTAGCCCAATATAACACCCTGTAGTGCCAAGCAAGTTGTCTCTAAAATGGAAAGCTTTGCCGGCGAAGCTCTATTTTAATACGCTGTAAATCAAAGTGTTCGCACTTTGATTTAAATACCTAAATACTATTTGCTCGTTTTAGTGTTATATAAGCTTGGTTAGCAAGGTTGTATTCGTATTTACATATAGTAGCTGTTAATAACTATGTTTACTATTATAATACTGTCACGTTTGGGAAGTCTTTTAAGGTCAGGTACAATATAATGTATATTCTGCATAGTAGGTCTCATACAAGACTAAAGCTTGTAGAAGGGGAGAATAGTGTGCGGAGCACACCTGGATTGATCATAGTGATATGGGCAGACAGAATTAAAGAGAACACACTCTAATTGGTGGTTTAGTTGGTAGTGCACCTGAATTATAACAAATACGCAAGCTATATAGCTAAAGATAGTGTAAATACGTTGTAGTTAATGCTTTAAATAAATTTTAACTAATTAGCTTTTTGCAAAGTTTGTATAAACTAATAAAAAGCAAGCCCAGTTTTATAAAGTTTTAAAAGTTATTGTTAAAACTTTTTAAGCTTTACTTTTTTTTACATTTAATTGTTGTTGCTAATACGTGTTCGGAAGAGGTAAAGCTTTCCAATTAATATAGCTAGTTAATTGTAATTAACTAAATAAAAAATTGTTCCTGCCCGGGATCGAACCGGGGATCTTCTGTGATCATCAAAGTTGACTTTGTAAGACAGATGCCATAACCACTAGGCCACAGAAACGCCCATTGGTGATGGGACACCCCATGTTTAGACTTATGTAGGTAACGGTCCTAGGACTAGAGGGATAGTTAGTAATACCGACCCATGATGTTGGTAAAAGGACTTAGATACGAATTATTATGAAAGGCCTTGACATATAAACACCAAGTACCTATGTGTCACACACCGTATAGTGCTAAAGCACTTACCTAACCCCTAATGTTCCTGTTGTAATTTAGCTGATTCAGCCTTTACCTCAGTACAAGATATACTGACTGGAATTGGCCGCGATAGGTAACGCAGATTAGTACTTGTAGTCGCCGGTTGCCAACAATATGTTGTATATATAGATAGACTTGGGGTAGTCAAAGGATCTTTGGCAGCTTGGAAGATTATTCTATTCGTAATTCGAGTTAATCCTCCAAATCATATTCTGTAGCTCATGTTATACTACGGATACAAGGCTCATTGGAGCCAAGCATAAAGGAGTCCAATATTCTCGCATAAGCAAGTATTTATATTAAATCGCTAGGCTAATTTGTGGCATATTTATTGTATGTATAGTTTATTAGGCAGTGGAAAAGATAGCAAATTAAAAACTTTTAAGGTGTTAATATTAAAGTTTTAAACATTATATAAAAAGTATTAGCATTATTAAAAAAATGAATAATTAAATTCTTAATAAGTTATAATTACTTTATAGCTTTAGTAATACTTAAAAGCAAAGCAAATTAATTAAATATATAAAGATAATAATAAATAGCTTTTAGTTTTACAACAATTATTTATAAAAATCACATGGAAAACACATGGAAAACACATAGTGTATATGTTACCTTAACAAATAATAAGTTTATAAGCTACTAAATACTTATTTTACTATGACAAAGTATTGTTTTAGGGCACACTGGTTCGATTGCATCCTGCCCCTGATTTTAAAGGTGACAGTGAGGCGTAAGGGATATGTCCGTAGCTGATATGAATTAGTGATTTAATTTCTAGTACCTGTAACAACCTTCTTGTCACCGTACACCCTTTATTACCAATCAGCCATTGATATATGCCAGGGACTTAAGGTAGATAAATACCTACCTAATGTATGTATGGCCATGCACATAGCGTGCTTTATAACTGTTCATGTGTATATATGGATACCTAGGCGTCTATAACCGTCTCCGTGGGAGCCCAAGGGACCTAGAAAGCCATTTGGCCGATGTTTAGTCCAAGTAAAGATGCACCTTCCCTTTGGCATTTGCCCCGATGTTTTCTATAGTCCCGGCAACAGCAATTTCGTTTTTCCCCCCTTGTTTCTGTCCTGCTGTCCTGCTATCCTGCTATCTTCATTTTTCCTTTGAAAACGCTTCACTTTCGTTGGCACTCCAGACATTGAAACATACCTTACTGCACAAACTCACCCTCCCCCCCCTCCTTTTTTTTTTTTCAATCTTTTTCTCTTCTGGTTGACAGGTAGCAGCCATGGCCACGACTTCGGATTCAAATGAAGCAGACCTTGAATTCCGGAATGAAGTTATCGATAAACTCCTAGATTCCGTGGACTGCACTAAATATTTGAAGGATTCGTTCGGTCAATTCCTTGGCAACATTACCGTTAATACCAACCACAAGCAATTGGCTTTTCATCTTTTTTGTACCGTATGCGATGCATTTGCTTGTTATCCTCCCTACGTGCCTGAAAATAACACTAATTCGTATAGGTCACTCTTTACATTTCCAAACAGACCACCCTAGATCAGGAGCAAATGTCTGTTCTATGCCGAAGTACGCATTATGCAGCCTCTTCCCAAGTTTGGCGGGCCCCAACCTCTCCCCTACATACCCCCAAAGCTATGTTAGACTTTACTAGTATTTCTGAGGTGACTACTAATCTGTTATTTTCCGGGGCAGTCATTGGGAAGTTGAGACAAGAATGGAGTGACGGCGATGCTTCATCAGAGCACTCTATCGCGCCATCGTACACTGAGAATAATGTCGTGTGTCCGAAGCGAAGTGCTTCATCCGGCAGTACGACTCTGCCGTGTGCCGAAGTTGACGACGCGATGGCCTCTACCGCTAAGGGTGCCGTGGGGGACGATATCGGCAGTGTATGCGAAACTCTTAAGCATACCAATATTGCCTGCCCTAGTACTCCTGAGAATTTTGTACGCGGGGCTGAGAAACACATCCCAGGAACTTCCAACTTTGATCAGGCTATCAACTCGAAAGACGTAGACGACTTGAAATCACAGTATCCATTCGGATACCGACTCATGGCTAAACAAGGATGGTCAGATTCTAGCGGCCTTGGCCCTAACGGGACTGGAATACGACGACCCATTCATACAGACACCTCAACTGGGGTTTTCAGAGACCGTGATTCCCCTCTCGGGCTAGGATATCTACCGAAGGCTAGTAGTAATATTATTGTGGACGGCAGTCGTCCAGAAAATGCCGAACAAACGAAACGATTTACCAGCACAGCAACAACCTGGCATCAATACGTGGCAGAGTATCTGACCCGTGGCGGGACAGCCGAAACAAATGATCAGTCCGACCATGCCACTAACCTAATGCGGCCGACTAGACTCGCTCACAAAGCATCAACCCAAACCCAAACCATACCTTCCTCCACTGGCAATAGCAAGACAAAGATTATTGTCCAAGACGAATGCGTTATCAATGACGTATGGAAGGACACCTCGAAGTATGCATGTGCGCCACGGGCCGGGAAGAATGAATCACGAGGCATTCTAGGAAAGATGGGAATAACTCATTCAGCAAAGCACCGCGACTCCGAGGGTTGGTAGCCTTGGATTGTTGTCCCAACTCCTCGAGAATCACACCGAGTAAAGTGAACGATGGGGTATATTGTGCATGGGTGATACCTAGGGTCTTCCAGACAGTTTCTTTACACGGAAACGGAGATGTGACGTTAGACAGTACTCTAAGCACTCGTGGATGTCGTTTTGTAAGGGTGTTGTACGGAGCATGTTAGTAACAAGCTACATGAGTGCCAGTTGTTCTCTACTTACGACTTTTGTCCTTGTAATCCTTCATACGAACGTATCATGCAACGAATTCTTCGCAATTAAAATGGTCGTTCACGTTTCATCATACCCAGTAGTATTCTTACTCCCGCTTCTATGTTCTTTCTCCTAGCCTTGGTTACTCCTACGTCTGTAGACTCAATACACTGCGTTTTATGGTTCTCAATTCTTCCTTCTATGGTGCAATCTCGCCTCCTCTCCGAACCATGGGGGAATGATACTTACGAACAGCTGAAACGCAAAGGCTAGAATATCAGGCGAGGCTATGGTTCTAGGCAATTAAGAATCATCCGATTTGAGCTGCCGTTTGCATACACGTGATAAAGATGATAAATAATATGGATGTCCTTCGAGTATCATTCTAGATTCCCTTCCTGCTATTCTATCTATGTACGTTGAATATGCATACTGGGGTACGGCCTCCCTTTGGCCTACCGACTAAGAAATGGTCCATCTATCCCTCCCATTGAAGCCGTTTATCTTTTAGCCTCTGCGGCCTCCACCCTCCATTTGCTGCCAAACCGCCATTGTATTGCCAAACCCACCAATGCGACAAGCTGTGCTGCCACGGCGATAGTAAACGTCCACCCTACACCCACTGCGCCGATGATGGGTGTGACAATACTAGTGCCCCCGGCCGCGAGGAGACATCTTGCGAGGTTCACAGTGGCGCTCGATGCAGCCTTGTGATGCGGGAACACGTCTATTAGGTACGTCGTGACGACCGAGACTATCGACACCACCATCCAACCAGTGATGAACGTGGTTACGATTGGTACGGCGATGTGAACGCGATATTGGATAGTCCAGCCAAAGGTGAGAATAGACGCGCACTGGATGAGAGCGAGGAGTGGAAGGAGGCGAAGCCGTGCTGTCTCTAGAGGAAAGTTGACATCATCGTGTAATACTTCGCGCGGCTGGTCGGTTTCCGTTTCTGATCCGCTCTGGGACGCGTCGGCTTCGTGCTTGGCTTTGACACGTTTGTAGTCTGCGTCTAATATCTTACCGGTGATGAGGGTGCCAATGATTGACCCAGCGCCGTTTGCGATGAAAGTCAAGCCAATCTGTGTCTCGGAAAGGTCGTAAATCTCGGAGAAGAGCACGGACACTGCCGTGATGCTCATTTGCCAAACGGCATAGTATATGGCGAGAAAGATGACGACCGGTGCTGCTTGTTTGCTGAAAAGTATACGAACCGGCCCGGCGATATCGATGGTAGCTTTCTTGGAAGCATGGGGAGGCAGAGTTTGCGGACTGAGCTTTGTCCTGGTTGTTTTCTGGTACAAGGTTAAGGGGTACCTGGCGATCGGGTTTGACGGGCTTGCACTTCCATTCCCCACGACTGTCCGGAGGGTTTCCGGCAACGAGATGACCAGCACCACTAGAAATGCACCGCAGTATATTGCCAGGAACCAAAAGACTGCTCTCCACCCGAGGGAATTGGCTATAGCTCCGCCAATGACTGGTCCTACGGCCACTGGTGCAAGGAGTCCGGCTTGAAATATGCCCATGTATCCACCGCGCTCTTCACGGGTAGTGATATCTCCTATCACTGCTGATCCGACGGCAATGGTGCTAGCACTTCCAGAGCTCTGGACGCTCCGCAACACGATGAGCACAGCATAATTCGGGGTTTCGGCTAATCCTATGCAAGCACCTAAAAACACCAAGAAAGTACAGAAATATGTTATCCGACGTCCCTTAGCATCTGATAGCGGACCCCAAATACTAGGCGCGAGACCTTGGAATATCAAGTAAGATGTTATCGTAAGATTGACGAGCTCGACGGAGACACCCAGGTCTTCGGAAATCGTGGCAAGCGAAGGGAAGTAAATATTGGAAGCGAATCCAGAGACTGGCTATGATTAGTATAGAGTCATGAATGGTGATAGTTGCACCCAATATTGGAACCACTTACATGTGGCAGCGGTTGCAGCGATAAATACGATCAGAGCCTTCTGACGCTTGTCGAAAATG